GTGAATTAACAAGAAAAAGGAAAAGAGAATAATTTTTGTATTATATAATCTTTTAATAAATAATTTGTTAAGTAAAATGATTGTTATTTTATCTTTATTATCGTATTTTTATAAAATCACGTGATATACAAAATGTACATTTAAATCTGAATTTTTTGAAATAATGAGGGGGGGTTGATGTTAAACGAGACTATTTGTTGGAACGGCCTTAAGAGAAATTGGTAATTGTATTTCTGATTTTTTATCTGTAACTATTTTACGCGAATTCCATACTTCATTTCCCAATTTTTCCCCAATTTCTTTCCATTTATCATCCGTCCAGTCTAATTTTGGTTGTGTAATATCCGTTATATTATTTATATTTAATAATAATTTTAAAAAAAAGTAATTGGGCAATTTAGGTAAAATTCAATTAAAAATTTAATTGAATCATCAGTATTATTTGTATTATTAAATTCATCAAGATTTAAATAACGTGTATTATCTTTAAAATTATAATATTCATACTTTAAGGGTGTTTCAGATGGAGTATATAAAAATTTTAAAGCTAGAACTAACATAGAAGTGAGAATTATTTCTTTTTTTTCTTCTGTTTCAGTATTTGCTACATACGTAAGCTATTGAGCCAATAATTTTAAACTTTTGGATGTATCTTCTTTATGCAATTTATGTTGTTCACAAGTTGTTTTTCGTTTGCCAGAATCAGGTCGACGGTTTAAATGCCCACCATAAGATTAACAAATATATCGAATTGTTGAAACATCATCAAAAATTCACTGGGAGATACCTTGACATTCGTGTACTGCATTACATGTATAGAGACTAACACATGGAATTTGGATACATTTTCCCCACATTTTCCATAAATGATCTTTACATCCAATTCCACGGCTAAAGAAATGAAAATTTTTAGAACACAATAAGCAACGTCAACGGCTAATTTCACTTTGTTCAGGATTCCGCAATTGTTTTATAAATGCATTATGATTTTTTTGATCATAATTAAAATGACTCATACACACCCCCAATGGTATTCCTTTTGACTGGTATTCTGATACTGCATTTTCATCTATTTGCCAAACTCCAACTAATTGGCATAAATTCCTAACATTTTTAGTTTGACCACAAGTTTGCAATTTATTATCTAAATAATCAACTAGAATACATGGTGAAAAATTTGTATACATGGCTGGATTAAGTCCATATACAGGTTCGTTTGCATCTTTAACAGGAGGTGGAGGAACTTCTTGGTCTTCATATGTATCAAATTCTTCTTCGTTTCATCACTTGAATATTCCACAACTTCTTGTTCTAGTGCATTTTGCGCATTAATATAATTTTTTTCATTAAATTCAAATATTTCTAACTCAAAAAGTTTGTCAAAAGAAGTTCAAGATCTTCTTCAGTTTCTTCTGAAAATATTTCTTGACTACTATAATATAAAGGAGTTTTTTCTTCAAAAGTAATTTCATAAGTCTCCATATCAATAAATTAAAATTTATGCAAACTTTGACGTTAAGATTCTTATTAAAACGAATAATAATAATATAAATATAATTTAAACAATAAACCTAACCACTTTTTATTACATGATATGATGTAATATTTTGTTACAGACAAGTGAAAAGTTGTTAAATTTTGCAGTTTTCTATATGTTTTTGGATTTTTTACTATGATATGCAACATGCAGATTTCTTAATTAAAAATATTACACAACCCAATCAGGGGACATGCACACTGACTGTTATGTCGTCTATTACCTAAAGATGCATGTCGTAAATAAAGAATTTCGACATGTCGAAAATATCGAAAAAAATAAACAATTCGTCAATGCAAATCAAAATGGTAAAAAGCTGAAATAAATTCGTCAAGTCGAAATTGGCAAAATTGTCGAAATAATGATTGGCTGCAGATCATCATTTTTTTGTGATGTAATGATGTGGCTGGCAAAATTGAATATAAATAAACACGTCATAAAATCAAAAAAAAAAAATATTTTTCTTCTTGATTTCACACGAAATATTATCAAGTATTTTTTTGTTTGAATATGTCGAAAACACCTTCCGCTATTCTCAATTCAAAGATTTGTGGAAAAAAAGCTTTTTTACCTGACAATGTTGAAAATTCAGTTTCAACAGTGCTTTCACATATTTTGACAGTAATAAATAAAAAAATTGATTCATGTGTTTTCGAACAAAATAAAGTGAGAATAATATTTAAGAAGAATGAAGGTCGCACGTATATTGACTTACAAGAGTTGTCATCAAGTTTTACGTTCATCAATAAGGTATAAGATTTCCTTGTTTTTGGACAACTTTGTCCACTTTTTTCATTTTGGATAATTTTGTCCACCTTTTTATCAGATTTGGACAATTTTGTCCACTTTTTTATCGGGTTTGGTCATTTTTTACGGGTTTGGACAATTTTGTTCAATTTTTTTCGTTCTTGGTCATTCATCTTTGTCCGCTTTTTTTCATTTCTTGACAATTTTGTCCACTTTTTTATTGGGTTTGATCACTTTTTTACGGGTTTGAACAATTTTGTCCACTTTTTTTCGTTGTTGGTCATTCATCTCTGTCCACTTTTTTTTCATTTTTGGACAACTTTGTCCACTTTTTTTTATTTTTGGACAATTTTGTCCATTTTTCCCTTGGTATTAGAACAATTACATTTTTTCTGAATAAAATATTTTATTTTTTTAGGATAATTTGACTGAACTCGAGAATTACAAGAATCTATATGAATTAGGACCCTGGATATCTAATATAAAGGTCATAATGGACTTTTGGCCAAAAACACCCCTTTTTGCTGAAACTCAAAAAATCGTTTTTTATAAATATCTCAGCATCCAGTAATTCAATTTTAATGAACTTTTTTTTATTTTGTAGCCCTCATTTAGCTCTACAATTTAAAAAAAGTTCATTAAAATTGGACCACTGGATGCCGAGATATTTACAAAAAACGATTTTTTGAGCCCTGAAAAATGGGCCAATCTGCCGAAAGTGTGACTTATGACCTGTTTTAGAGATATCCGGGGTCCTTATGAATTATACAAAAGTAAATATGATTCAGTATTGAATAATAATGCTAAATTACAGGTAAATATAAATTATAAGAATGATGTTTGGTTTTTAATTTATAAAATTTATATCTTACTTTTTTTATTACTTAATTTCTGATAATAGAACGAATTGCAAAAGTACTCTAATTTTGGATTAGTAACGCCAGAAAATACGTGTCCAGTTAGTGTTGGTACAGCTGATACTATAATTTCAGATATAGATGAACCATTAAAACAATTGTTACAGTATTCAATACCTGAACATTTACCTGAATCCACAACATCAACTCCCTACTCAACAACATAGCAGGCTTTCCGATTTTTGAATAATCACATGATGATCAGCATATATATTATTTTTAGTTTTTATTTAATAAATTATCTGTTATGGCGCCATAATAAATAACTAAAATTCACATTTTCTAGTAATTTTTAAATGACGTAATACTGACATAATTGTTTGTATATAGATATGTATTTTATTGGCTGGATATCATATGTATCGCATATGTGATAGCTGTATTAATTTATTTTAATTGTGCCACAAAAAATTTAATAGCGAAGGACGATAAAAAATATTGATTCTTCAGGTCTTGTTTAAACGTATTACAAAGGAATCTGGCTATTGGAGAAGAAATCCAGAAGTTATAAACACTTGAAACTTTCTTATAAAATGAAAATAAGTATAGTATGTTTATATTATTTGGCTTTACAAAGAATTTTTGACAAAAAATAGTTGAAATCAAATAAAGATATATTTTGACACTCCAGGTTCTTCTTAAGTGTAAGTTATAAAGTTTTAAATAAGTTTAGTGTCAAAAAAATTCTTTATTGGTAGAACTCCTTGCCATTTAAAGGATCAGATAGGATTTTTAGAAATTTTTTTTCCTTTATTAATAGACTAATTATTTCTTTCTCTTTTTTAGGAGTTGACTTATGAATTTTATCAGTATATTCTATTAAAAGCTTAAACAACATTCTTTAAATAAAGTGAAAGGAGTTTTATGGCTACAATTATTGGTAAGAAATATAATTTAAATTTTGTTTCAGGTTTTGATTGTAATGACATTATCGTTAATTTATCAACATACACATATGCTAAATGAATAATTTTATATTCCTTTGAAAGGTGTAAATGGGCTCTAATTTTAGAATCAAAAATCATGCAAATTGAATTATTAGATAAGGAGATATTTATGTTCAAATGCAAGAGTTTATGTCAAATTGATAGTAAATGTGTTGAGCGTATTTATCAAGGAACCAATGATTCAATCAATGCGATTTTTAACTTTTTGGATAGATCTCATTCTCTCCTTTCAAATAAATATAAATTCATTTTTCTAGCATGCATATATGTTGAGTTATTTATGATTTTGCAACAGGAATTATAATAGATTTTTAATTTATATGGAAGGTACATATTAAAATTCTTGAATTTATTTCAGATTCTAATAAAATTTTTTTTGCAAATATATTTTATTAATATTTATTAGTTTGCAAGATTTAAAGTACGATTATTATGTGAGTTTTTAAATCTGCCAGTCATTTATATTAAAAAATTACATAAAATGCATTAAATTAAAAGTTACTACTTGCAAAAATCGGTCAATAATAATTCAATTTGAATAAAACTTTGTATGATTAAAATTTAAAGTGCAATAAATTTATTTGCAATATTTGAGGTCATATTAATATGTAGAATTTTATGCAATGTCTTGTAACGGCATTTTATATCATGTGATAAAATTTGGAAAATGATCGGCAAATTAATGTGATAAAGGAGAAAGCCCGCTATGCTCTACTCAACATTATATCACGAAATTAATGACTCAGAACTTGTGAACTGTGATTTAGCTTTAAATTACCTCACAACTCTTGATATACCGTCAAAAATTTGGTCAAATCTAAATAATCATTGCATTGAAAAATTTGGCAGCCAAAATTGCATAAAAAATAACGCTACTATTTCAAATATAACATGGGCCAAAACAACATTGTCAGGTTACCGCAACTGGAATATGATGCGAAATTATTATGATGATATTGATAAATGGATAGTAAAAATTAATAACTTCTGTAAGTAAAATTTATCAAATAAAATTGTTCTTGATTACAAAATAATTATTCATATCTAAATTTTATAGGTTTTGTTGAAGATGAGGTTAATGATTCTCAGCCTATAAGTGAGGAATCAAGTAATCATGAAAGTACCAAATTAAAATCACCTTCGCAAGCGCTACTAGAAAGTACCAAATTGAATCCACCTTCACAATCGCTACTAGCAGCTGATAAAAGTACCGAAGCTAATAAAAGTATTGAATTAAATCCACCTTCACAATCGCCACTGGCAGCTGATGAAAGTACTGAATTTAATAAAAGTATCAGATTGAATCTACCTCCATCAACAAAAGTACCAACAAAAAAGCTACCAGCAAAATCACAAGTAAAATCACCTACATTAAAGTCAGTAGAAAAAGTACCAAATGTGGAAATGGCAGTAGTAGTAGAATCACCAAATTCAGAGCCATTAATCTCAGAAGTAGCAGATGAATCTCGAGTAGTACATATATCAATATCAAAAGTATTAATAAAAAAACATAAGAATGAATGTGTTGAAGTTTCAGTTTCTTCAGAAAAGGATAGTGAAAGTGATCATGATGATGATAATGATGATGAAGCTATTGTAAATGAAGAGTTAAATTCTACTCAGATGCTTTTGTTTAGTAAAGAAAGGAAACTATGTGAAATTTTGCTGGTAAATGATGAACATTTTGTTATCTCAGAAAAATTAAAAACTACTAAAATATTTATTGTATTGGCCGAGTTATCAAAATTTGAAACAATTAAAGTAGTTGACAAGAAATCTGCTACTAACAGGATAAATCAATGAAGGAATCAGGAAATGTATTGTGAAAAGCTGCTAATTGTGGCTGAATTTTTTAACTTATTGCATTTGGTGTTATTAGTTTAAATTTATGATGATCTTACAAGTTCGGTTCAGAATTAGAAGTTAAAAATGTAGAATCTTGGGTTATTTTGTTCATGTAATATATACTTAAAATTGGCAGAAAAGTCGAACAAAGAAATAGGATGAGTTGCGATAGGTTATATAGGTCAGGTTAGGGTCAGGGTCAGGGTTAGGGTCAATGTTAGATTAGGCGATTTGTAAAATTTTTTGAATAAAAAAATGCAAAGAAAAAACAGAATTTGAACAAGCGACGTCGTTCGGCCAACTTCTGTGAACTACTGGA